CCCTTGTAAAAGAACTATGGGCATATTTAAAGCAGCATTTGCATATCGACCTCGTAAACATTAACCAGAAAACCGCCAGTGACCCTCGTACCACCGAAAGAAACCCACAACCATTAGGTTAGAAATGTTAGACATTATAGAGTTTAGACTATAAACTTCATGCCTGTTCATGAGACACCACATATACCTGACCTTCTGACGGCCAGCCAAGATCATCCTCATCCTCATCCTCATCTTTATCCACATCTATATATTCCTCTATACAACATACAGTACACACTAGGGCTGCACGATAAAGCCCTAGTACACACAAACACACACATAGTGACCGGTGTTACATTAGCACTTAGACTTAAATAAATAAATAATGCTGAAAACACTGGTTCCTGAATACACTACAAAACATTTAGTTATTAAAAGTAGTAGACTTAAGTTAGTTAATAAATAAAACTATAAAAATGCAACTTTGCTTGATTATGCATCAAAGTGCTGCCAGGGTTTCCACAAAAATGTGAGCAGCACAATGGTTTTTAGCATTGATAATAATCAGAAATGTTGCTTGAGCCTCAAATCAGCATATCAGAATGATTTATGAGGGATCGTGTGACTGAAAACTGGAGTAATGATGCTGAAAATGTAGCGTTTCATCAAAGGAGTAAATTACATTTTACTGCATATTCAAATAGAAAACAGTTAATTAAATTGTAATAATATATTTCACAATATTACTGTATTTTTTGAACATTAGTGTACATCAAAGAGGCAAACAAACGGTGGCATAGAAAGCTGCAAGTTGGTAAACCACTTCCTTTACACAGGTGTGACGTTCCTCTGAACACTGAAACAGTCGCTCAGATTGAAATGCTAACTGAACTGAACACAGCAAATGTCAAACGCGTGTTTAGAGCGTGTCGTTTCACGTCTTGGCTCACAGAATATCCCTCGAGGGAGATTTCTGTCAGGATCGTAGGAGAAAGTGTGCAGAGGAAGTCTATTGCATAAATCTGCAAGACCTTCGACGAGACACACGATCTGCAGTGACAATTCGACTCTAGATAAGAATTTAATGTAAAAACTGAAATCTGAGCACAGTT